AATAGGGATGGCCTCCAACCTAATAGGGATGGCCTCCAACCTAATAGCGATGGCCCCCAACCTAATAGGGATGGCCTCCAGCCTAAGAGCGATGGCCTCCAACCCAAAAAAAATGGATGGCCTCCAGCCTAAGAGCGATGGCCTCCAACCTAATAGGGATGGCCTCCAACCTAATACTGTAGGGATGGCCTCCAACCCAATAGGGATGGCTTCCAACCTAATATGGATGGCCTCCAACCTAATAGCGATGGCCTCCGACCTAATAGGGATGGCCTCCAACCTATTAGCGATGGCCTCCAACCTAATAGGGATGGCCTCCAACCTAATAGGGGTGGCCGGCCTCCAACCTAATAGGGATGGCCTCCAACCTAATAGCGATGGCCTCCAACCTAATAGGGATGGCCTCCAGCCTAAGAGCGATGGCCTCCAACCTAATAGGGATGGCCTCCAATCTAGTAGGGATGGCCTCCAACCTAATAGGGATGGCCTCCTAATAGCGATGGCCTCCAACCGAATAGCGATGGCCTCCAACCTAATAGGGATGTCGAATCGATGCATCGATCGCTCATGAATTCCTCCTGTGTCGTTTGATGAACATGGCCCATAACGTATGAGGCACAAGAGTTCACAGTTGAAGTTAGAAAAGGTGCGATGCGGTGCATGCCATGGTTTCGTTGCTGAGTGCATTTAACATTGGTGACGCGGAGCAGTACCAGGTTTCGATCTAGGGCTGTTCTGCATGTCGACATGGCGACCCACGGTCGGTGAACGATCTGCGACCATTGGATCCCTAGGGCTTCGAGGTAGTGAACATCCGCTTGCTTGGACCTCCACGCCTTCTCATTCCAGATGGGAATGGAATGACACTGACTGGGAGGAGCAGGGCTATGCAGGTGATCCGTGGAGAAGCGAAGATCCTTGGTCGCAGGCCGACAACATGGGGGTGAGCGGAAGATCCACTGATGGGTGGATGACCGACCAACAAATGAGGGGATTCAATGTCACACAAGCTCACCACACGGTAGCGGGTGCTGATGGGCCTGGCGAGGTGGACATGCAGAAGGTGAAGGTTGGTTTGGTGGGGGCATCCCGGAACCTCATGACTGGGATTGGCCCCAGAAAGATGGTGCAAAGCCTTCTGAGAAACTCCATGTCCCCAGCTTTGATGGGGAATCTGTCGATGATGATATGGGGAAGACGGCAAGGTCCTACATCCGCAAGATCCAGGTTTGGCTCCGTTGCACGAAGATGCCTGCCAATCAACGAGGCCTGGCTCTTTACAACGAGTTGACGGGCAAGGCATGGGTGTATGCGGAGGAGTTGGATGTGGACCTCTTAGCATCCGACCATGGAGTTTCTTATTTTCTTGAATGGGTGAAGGCACGGTTCATGGCCATCGAGATCACACAGGTCTCTCACATGATGGGTGATTTGTTCAAGCGCTGCCGCCGTCGAGGTGACCAATCTGTTCGTGACTTCAATGTTGAGTTTGAACGATTGGTGCTGCGCTTGAAAGAGGTTCAATGCGAGATCCCACCGTTGATCAAGGGCTGGCTGTACTTGGACAAGCTGAGGTTGAGCGAGCATGAAGAGCTGACTTTGTTGTCAAGTGTCAACAATCAATTTGATGCCAAGAGACTTCAACAAGCTGCTCTCCTACAAGACCGAGCCATCCGCAGGCCAGCTTCTTCCTCCGAAAAGGTGCCTTGGAAAGAAGGGAAACGGTGGGGAACCAAGCATTCGGTTCACATGACCGATGCGCTGGAGTCGAGCGATGAGTCGGCTCCAGATGAAGAGGAGTTGGTTTCTGAAGATGTAGCATGTGAAGCTCACGAGGCATACATGACCTACCAGAGCGCAAAGTCCCGATACCGTGAAGCCTTGAAGGGTCGGGGCGCTGATGTGGATGAGATCAAGAAGAGATCTGAAGAGAGGCTGCGCCTTGCAAAACAAAGGTCTTTCTGTTCGGCATGCAAGAGGAAGGGCCATTGGCATAAAGATCCAGAATGCCCTTTGCGAGGTCGTCGGCCCGTAGATGAGAGGCAACAGGAAGCTCATGTGACGGTCCATTCGGCCCAGATGTGCACAACCGTTCATGCTTGCTATGCCATGGACAACCAAGAGACCCAGGTCACTGACTTTCTGGCGGGCGGCCTCCTTGCGATTGTGGACACAGCATGCACCAAGGCCGTTGCAGGCCATGGTTGGTTTGAGAACTTCTGTGACATGTGCGACAAGTTGGGCTTCATGGTGGAGACCTATGACCATGAAGAGTTTTTCAAGTTTGGAGCATCCAGAGTGCACACCTCTTCGTTTGGGGTGGCAGCGTGGTTTGCCATCCGAGGGCGGTGGTTCCAAGTGAGAGTGGCCATAGTTCCATGTGGAGTGCCATTGCTGTTTAGTCGCCCCATCCTGGCGGCACTAGGCATGCATTATGATTTGGCTGCTCAACGAGTTCAGTTGAGCTCTTTGGGATTGGATGACGTCCCATTGCACACGAGCCAAAGTGGCCATCCGGCTCTTTTGGTCAATGAGTACGAAGGCAAAAAGCCTCCACGAGGTCGAATCGGCCTTGGTGATGACCTCTACTTGCCGGACGAGAGAGCATACATGGATGCGCAGTCTCATGACATGGATGGCTTGAAACCCTTGTTCTACCCCAAGATCATGGCAAAAGAGGTTCAACTTATGCTTCAATCTTCTCAAACTCTTGGAGGTGCTGGTTATTTTTGCTGGTGGAAACATGCCAAATTGTCACGGGATTTTTGGATTGAGACCCACACAGAGTTCATCAGAGTTCATGTCGTGCCACGTCGGGGCCTCTTCGATCCTTCGTCATGGAAGACACAACTTGTGGGCCTCAAAGATGTTCTTTTGAAGAGATTAGATGGTAGTCGACGCACTGAAGCAATCTCATGTTTGTCGGAGGGCACGGCAGTCCATGTTTTCAGTGATGCAAACTTTGAGCATGTGAAGAACGTTTTGGAGCAACCTTGGATTGGACGCAGCCGCTTTCCCAAATTCGAAGGCCAAGTGAGCCTCATCGTGACCACGGCTGACGCCCATTCCAGTCCGTTGGATGCCATCCCTGACTCCCTCGCCATGGAACATGAAGAAAGGCCAACTGTTGGCCGAGTTGGCAGAACGGGGGGTGACAGCTCACCCGTCTTGGACGGTGCCGGAGCTTCGATCCATCCTTGTGGAGCAGAGGCAATTGGAGAAACCTGCGCCGGAAGAGGACAGGATGAAGGGATTGACCAAGATGACCCTCCAGCAGCTGGTCGAGGAGGCGAAGAAGGACAACCTCGTGCTGCCTGCAAAACCGACTCGCGGCCTGATGATGAGGCTTCTTCGAGACTCTCGGAACACGCCCGGATGCACAGTCATGCCGTTCGGGAGGTACAAGGGCTGGATGTACAGCGAGGTGCCAGAAGGCTACATCCAATGGGCGATGAAAGAGGTGAAGGGCAACCCCAATGCTCACGAGGATCTGGTGCGCTTTGCGACTTGGGGCTCTCAGGAGCTGGAGCGCCGAGCCGAGACACCTGGCTTGCCCAAGAAGAAGGATCTGGGAAGAGATCCCGAGGCGCTGGCTGTGATTCCGCCGCCGCCGGTGAGGTCAGATCGGGGTCCTTCGAGCTCCTCGGAAGCATCGTGGGGGAGAGTGACGTCGCCGGGCGGCTATGCCCGGAAGGCCGAGGTGATCGCCATCGACACCGACATCGCCGACGACCTTCTGGTGGACGAGGCCGAGACCATCCGTGCTCTGGAGAACCAGTTGGCAGCATTGAAGAAGAAGACGAATGTCAAGAAGTGAAAACTTCGGAGGAGACACATGAATTCTCTGGGGGCTCCGAGGATGAGGAGAACAAGGAAGACTACAGGGTCTTCTTGGCCGCTTTGAAAGATGAGGTAAAGTATGACATGGGCACCAACAACCACCTGGACGCCATCCACGGCATGGAAGACGTCGATCAGAAGGAGACGATGAGTGCCTATGAGGATAAGGCATGGGCTATGCCGAACTTCAATGAAAACAGCAACGCTCAGGGGGTGGAAGAGTATAACGACGGGACCATCAACAGTCAGGACATCCATCCGGGCTCGGACGAGGACACTGACAATGAGACAACAAGTGGTTCCGCCGATGACGGCCGATCGAGGTCCCCCCTTGGGCGGGATGAGGTGAAAGCTCGTATACAGGCGGGCATGAAGAGAAAAAGATTTGAGAGTCGCTCGACAAAGAAGAAGATCATGGACACGGCTCAGCAGATCTTTGGCGTTTTGGCCACCTGTTCATTGGCTATGGGGCTCTGGACTCAAGAGGTGATGGGAGATCCTTTGTGGGATGCTTGGAGTGTCCTGCAGTCTTCGCACCCTGTTCCTGATGATGGTCGGGCAGACTGTCTTGAGCTATTTGCAGGCGAAGCGAACATTTCTGGAGTCTTCGCCAGCCGGCAGAAAGGAGTTTTGGAGCCCAGAGATCTGAGGTATAACCACGACCTTCGGAAGTCGCGGGCTCAGGAGGAGGTCATTGAAGAGATGTGGGAGAACAAGCCTCGCTTGGTATGGATGGCTCCACCGTGTACGGCTTGGTGTCAGTTCTCCCACCTCAACTACACGCCACAAGAACTGCGGAGGAAGAGGGCACGAGAGCAGAGCTTGGTCAGGTTCACGCATCGTGTTTTCGAGCTCCAATGTGACCTGGGAGGCATCGTGGTGGTGGAGAACCCCAGGACAAGTGCGTTGTGGAGGCAAGCTCCCCTGTGCCATGTGGTACGCCGGCCGGAAGTATGCTTTGCCGATCTGGACCTGTGCCGGTATGGCATGTCGAGCGTGGTGGATGGATCGCCTTTGAGGAAGACCATATCGCTGCTCACGAACAATACTATCTTTGCCAAAAACATCGAAGCACGATGCGACAAGTCTCATCACCATAGACCCATTCAGGGCAAAGACACCGCAGCGTCGGCAATCTATCCTCCTGCATTTGCTCGGGCGGTCTTCAAAGCATTTTGCCAAGCCACCAGCCAGAAGCAAATAGAGATACAGTACCCAACTCATACTGTGGCACATCATGGACCCCAACCTGGAGAAGAACCTCTCGGAGCAGATAGCATCTCCTTCAAGGGCAAGGTCAAGCCCATGATTGCAGCAACGCTGAAAAGGATACACCAGAACCTCGGGCATCCACCTCAGAAAGAGCTGATCCGCCACCTTCGTCTGGCAGGAGCTTCGGATGCGGTGTTGAGGGCTGCAGAGCAAATGGTCTGTCGGACGTGTGAGAAGAGCACCAAGGCAAAGCTAGCCCGACCTGCGCATCCTGCGGTGGTCCTTGACTTTAATGAGGTCGTTGCTGCTGACATCATATGGTTTGACACCACTGAGAGCACTGGGTTGCCAGCTCTGAACATCGTGGACTTGGCATCCACTTACCAGGTGGTGGTCCCTCTTCAAGGAACTTCAGCTGAGGAGGTGGGGAGTGCTATGATCCGGGGGTGGATGAATTGGGCTGGCGCTCCCAAACATCTTTTGGTGGATTTGGATTCAGCCTTCAAAGGTCACTTCCTGCAGCTCATGAACGAGAGGAGCGTCATCGTGCGGTGCGCGGCAGCTCAAGCACATTGGCAAAATGGAGTGGCAGAACGCCATGGAGGTTCATGGAAAGAGATTTTTGCGAAGTTGGTTGAAGATCATGCGATCATGGACTATGAAGTGGAGGAAGCAGTTGCAGCAACATCGGATGCCAAAAACCAGCTACGCAACCGCAGCGGGTATTCACCTCGACAGTGGGTGTTTGGATCATCGATGAGGAACACTGGTGACCTCTTTGATGGACCAGAAGAGCTCAGCTCGTTGGAGCACATCACGGTTGACGAGAAGGCCGCAAGAAGACATCAAATCAAGATGGCAGCCCGGGCAGCTTTCTTTCAGTGCCAATCCAAACAGGCACTGGACAGAGCAATTGCCCACAAGAGCAGAGTGGAGCAGAGGTCCTTTGAAGCTGGTGAGCTGGTCTACGCCTTCCGGGAGTACTTGGGCAAGAAGAGGTGGCTAGGGCCGTGCACGGTCATCGGAAGAGAAGGACAAAACTATTGGCTCGCTCGCGGAGGAAGATGCTTACTGTGCGCACCTGAACATGTCAGAACGGCACTCCACGAAGAAGTGAACGAAGGGCTTCGCATCAAGATGGCCATGCGAGAAGTGAAGCAGCTGATGGAACAAGATGAAGAAGAAGACGAGTTTGACGAGATTGACTTCGAGAGCCCTCCCCAACCTCACGGAGCACAAGGAAGTGGTCCCGTGGAGATGGATGTGGAGAATGCTATTGATCCCGTTGAAGAAAGAGCTCGACAACTTCAGATAGCTGCACGAAAGGCACACGTTCTCGATGATGTCCCGGTCAGCATCAAGAAGGCAAAGATCCACCGGCCGTTCTTGACGAAGAGGACCATCTCAGCCAAAGCCCAGGAGAAGCAGCTTGACAAGGAGTTGCCGTGGCATATGATTCCTCCTGAAGAGAAGCCTCTTTACGTTGAAGCTGAAGAGAAGCAGTGGCAGGAACATCTGCAGTTCGAGGCCGTTCGGCCTTTGTCGGTGGAGGAGAGCAACGAGGTTATCGCCACCGTCCCGGCAGAGCGCATCCTGGATTGCCGATTCCTGTACAGGGACAAGAACAGGGCAAAGAGGCGCAGGGACAAAGACTTGGGGCCGAAAGCCAAGGCGAGGCTCTGCGTAGCAGGACAGAGAGACCCTGATTTGGGGCGCATTGAATTGTCCACAGATGCTCCCACGGTCTCGAGACATTCCATCATCTTGTCGCTGCAGCTCGCTCTGGCACGTGGGTGGAGGATTGGTGTTGGAGATATCCGTGCGGCATTCCTCAATGGCCTCCCCTCGTCTCGAGGACTGTACTTTAGACAGCCGAAGAGAGGAATCCCGTCGCTGCAGCCTGGGCAGATCATTGAGGTCTTGAAGGGAGTATTTGGGCTCTCTACGAGCCCGAAGTTGTGGTGGATGAAGTTGTCTTCTGATTTGGTCAGCATGGAGGTGATCTACGAGGGGGAAAAGATGAAGTTCCAGCAGAATGTCTTCGACCCCTGTGTCTTCATGCTAGAGAATAAGGGCGTGACAAAGGCCTTGCTGCTGACCCACGTGGATGACATCATGCTCATGGCTGATGCGCCTTTGCTGGAGCACCTCCAAAAGATCATTGGTGCAAAGTTCCCGATTGATGATTGGGACAATGACGAATTTGAGTATGTGGGTTGCGAGTACAAGTGCGGAAGAGAGCTCATCGAGATCAACCAGGCCCTGTACTCGAGCAACCGAGTGGAGAAGGTCACCATCTTGGAGACCGATAAGGATGATCAGCCTGCCAGCGCTGAGCAGAAAGAAGAGAACAGAACAGCCATCGGGTGTCTTTCCTGGTTGGCCAAGCAGACCAGACCGGACCTGCAGTTCTCTGTTTGCCAGTGCCAGAAGAAGCAGCAAATGCCCACTGTTGCGGACCTCAAGAGCACTAATAGAGTGGTGACCATGAGCGAATTGCACAAAGACAAGGGCTTGCGGCTCCACCGAATCGACGAGGAGAACATGTGCATTGCTGCGTTCCATGATGCTGCATGGGGCAATGTGGGCTCGGCGAAGGAGGAACCGGGAGACCCAGAATGGTATGGTGATCACACCATTGCATCGCAGCTGGCAAGCTTGATCTTGGTGGCAGACAGATCCTGCATGTCGATCGAAGGTGGCAAGTTCAGCGTGGTGGACTGGAAGAGTAAAGCTTCTTCGAGAGTGCGCCGGTCAACATTTGCTGGAGAGACGATGGCAGGATGTGAGGCATTTGAAGCAGCAGTCTTCTTGAGGAGCCTTCTCCTGTCATTGGCCCTCGGCTTGCGTGTTGAAGAAAGCCGCGGTGGAGAATACATGCCTCTCCACCTCGTGACCGACTGCCGAAGCTTGTATGACCATGTCCATCGAGAAGGAGTTCCCCGAGCACCGAGTGAGAAAAGACTTGCCATCGACCTGGCAGGACTCAGACAGGGCCTCATGATGGAAGCCCGTCACCAGTGGAAGAAGAAACATCCACTGCTTGAGAGACCTAGCCCGCAGGCACCTTTGAAGCCTCCGTTGCATTGGGTTCCAACCTCCGACCAGCTTGCGGATCTTTTGACAAAGCAGCTGAAGTCAAATGGATGGTGGGACACCATTTCACGAGGGCATCTTGCTTTGCCCCTGAAAGGGGTAGTGTAAGCGTTCACAGAGAGGAAGAGTTTTTAGATCAATGTCGAATCGATGCATCGATCGCTCATGAATTCCTCCTGTGTCGTTTGATGAACATGGCCCATAACGTATGAGGCACAAGAGTTCACAGTTGAAGTTAGAAAAGGTGCGATGCGGTGCATGCCATGGTTTCGTTGCTGAGTGCATTTAACAAGGGATGTCCTCCAACCTAATAGCGATGGCCTCCAACCTAATAGAGATTGCCTCCAACCTAATAGGGATGGCCTCCAACCGAATAGCGATGGCCTCCAACCTAATAGGGATGGCCTCCAACCGAATAGCGATGGCCTCCAACCTAATAGGGATGGCCTCCAACCTAATAGGGATGGCCTCCAACCTAATAGGGATGGCCTCCAACCTAATAGCGATGGCCTCCGACCTAATAGGGATGGCCTCCAACCTATTAGCGATGGCCTCCAACCTAATAGGGATGGCCTCCAACCTAATAGGGATGGCCTCCAACCTAATAGCGATGGCCTCCACCCTAATACGGATGGCCTCAACCTAATAGCGATGGCCTCCAACCTAATAGCAATGGCCTCCAACCTAATAGGGATGGCCTCCAACCTAATAGGGATTGCCTCCAACCTACTAGCGATCGCCTCCAACTTAATAGGAATGGCCTCCAACCTAATAGGGATGGCCTCCAACCGAAGAGCGATGAAGCAGGGAACATTACTAGCACTTTTCTAACCCTCACTAATTGCACCACGTGCATTCTCCGCATCCTTTCATGTTTTTTACAATCTTGCAATGATTTGAATGTGTCTTTGCCTCTTCTGTGTGGTAAGGGATTTCATCAAGTTGATGTGTGAAGACATTTACAGGAACTTTTGACCTGGAAAGAAGAATCTTGGGACAACTCTGTGTTCGAATATAATAGAACCATAACTATAACAAAAGAGAAGATTTATCTGGAAAGCAATCAGAGAGAGAGAGAGAGAGTGTGTGTGCAGAAATATTGGAATAGAAATCAAAACGCATAGGAAGTCTAAGATTCATTGCTCTAGATAGACCTGTTGAGGAGAAAAGGCGAAGGGAAGAGGAAGAGGAACGTCGTAGAGAAGAGCCTTTGCTGTGATAGCTGTTTGCCAGAAATGTGCTGTTTGGAACTGAATAGGCTCCCGTGTTCGTAGCTGAGGAAGCGAGACGCCGACGTCAAAAGGAGGAGGAGCAGGCAATGGCACGAGTAGATAGATTGGCTGTCAAGTTAGCAGAAGGCTTCAGTGGGGATTGCATCTTCGCTGGTGCAACCATTACAAACGTCCGCCGGCTCCGGCTGCTCTTTTTCTCTCAACCCCAGTCTCAGTGTTTGGACAGGAGGGGGCTGGAACTCTGTAACAGGCAATGTGGCAAAAACAAGGAATCTTGAGCTGTGGATTCATGGTGTTCTTGCTCTTCGCATACCAAATAGTATCATAATCATAGTACTGTTTATATGGCCTAGAATCTAGAACGTGTTGACTAGTTTCTACTATATGATTTCTTCTGCAGGGTGTACAAATTGTTCGGTGCTGTGCTTGAATGAAACGAAAGGCCGGTGATAGGGAGTTGTCAGGAAGATGTTTGTCGGGCGACCACCACACCTAAACCACCTCAAGTCCTAGGCCTACTGTTGCGCGGTCCCCATTGCAGTTCACTTCATGTTGTTTCTAGCCGATCATTGTGTTGTCTCCAAATGGTGGTGTTCATATTTGTTGGCAGTGTTGATGCCTTCTCCACCCTCTTAGGTGTTGCACCTGCGGGTTTGCGTTATTCTTGTTCCTGCTTCTGTTGCCGTTCTGTGCCTTGCGCTTCCAGTTTCAACGCTTTGTATTCTGTTCTGATTTGGGGGGCTGCCAGTCTTCCACCTTGGAATTTATGTTCATAAACTCAATCTCGAACTTGATCAAATTTGCAGCCTAATTACTGGTATACAAACGTGCGAAAGTTGAAGTCAAGATCACATACATGGTCTTAATAGTTGGGCAGGTGTTCTCCAAGTCCTGTCATGCCTTCACTTGGGAAATTGTGCACGCCCTGAAGCAAAAACAAGTAGCACAATTCTGAGTGCAACATAAAGGCATCCCCACATTGACTTCAAGATACTTCAAGGAGCAAAACACAGCCCATGTTTTTGAACAAGTGTGTGTGTGTGTGTGTGTTTTCGTCAAGTGCGTATATATATAAGTAATAAGCTATTATACATACATACATACATACACGCATACATGGCTCAAGCCATTTTGGCTCAAGGCCGTTTTCAGCATCAAGCTCAGTGGCTTACGGCCATCTGAGCAAACCTCCTCGTCACGGACGCCATAAGAAAGAAGAGCACACCGGCCAGAACGCATTCGGTGAGGTGTTCCACATGAGGAGGCACTAGAGGGTCTGTGGCAAGTGCAACGAGAGCTGGGTGTGGGAGGACCGCATTCAAGCAAATCCCAAGCTCCAATGCAACCAGTGCGGAGCACAGTGGCAGAAGACTTTGTTGCCTGATTTAAGGCAGAAGAGGCAAGTAGCTTGGGCAAGATGGAATTTCACCGGACAAGGTCATCAGTGGCCAAAGAAGTCCTACAAGGACGCCCTCTTGGAACCCCCACCGGGACTTTCAGGAGGACAGAGGAAACGAAAGACGAAAAAGACCAAGAATGATGACATGCACAAGGCTTTGAAGGAACACTGGGACTGCCTGCCAGAGGCTTTCAGGAATCAGTGCGCCGCATTAGGTGTGCAGGTGGCCGACCCTCCAGTGGCACCGGATTTGCCTTCGCTCATCAAAGAGCATCTACAAAGCCTTCCAGCCGACCTCAAAGAGGCTGTTGTGAAGATTGTGGAGCCGGTGAAGCCGGAGCCGACCTTGGCTTCGAAGGTCAAGCAAGCAGTTGGCACCCTGAAGCAGCTTTCAGAGAAGAAGGCATCCCTTCAATCCAAAGCGGATGCGGTAAAGCAGCAGTACACCCAATTGCTGCAGGACCTCAAAGAGCTGCAAGGGAAGATTGAAGTTGCACAAAAAGAGCTGCAAACCACGACCCAACAATACAACCAGCAGCTGGAGCAAGAAAAGCAAACTGATGCTGAAGACACGGCCGACGAACTATCTCCTGAGGCGCTGATCACTGCAATGGCCAGTGTAGGACTGCAGGCCACCTCGGCCCAGGTCAAGGACTTAGCGTCCAAGCTCATCGAGAGTGCCGCAAAAAGGAGAAAGTGTGGGTAACCCTGAAACAGACAGGGTGAGCAAGGGGTTCTCCACAGCCTTTTTGAAGGACTTCCACATGGGGTGCAGTGAAGTTTTTGAGAATGGTTGTGAGGTTTTTGGCTCAGGCCAGGAAGGGGGCGAAGACTCCGTGCCTGAGATGGGGAGACCTGAGGTTTTGCCTCAGGAGCAGAGCCAGGCCTTTCCTGGCTTTTGGGGAGGAGCAAGAGATGCAGACGTCTCCATGCTCGACAGTGAGGGAGAAGACCAAGTTCACGAAGAAGTTCGTTCAGAATCTGCAGTGTCGCCTGGGAAATCCTCGAAACAGGTGCTTTGCAAATTCTGCTTTCCGTCTATGGGCCTGGGCGGGAAGTTTCATGGAGGGCCCACGTCTGTGGAGTAGCACGGCTGCAGCGGTGAAAGAAGCACTGATCAGTGATGATGTGGTGCAATTGACAACACTCGCTGGGTTAAAATTCGATGATTCTCAACAAAATGATGCTTCGCATTTCCTGCAAGAGTTGGCTGATTTGGCTGATTCCCCTTCAGTTATTCAGGGCTACCACCAAGTTGACTTTCACCAGCAGGTTTCCAAGAAGAGAGCTTTTCCGGTGCATTTGATTTTTCCTCCAGAAGCAGGGCCTGAAGAGCTTGAACACCTCATTGCAGAGTGGGCAAACCAACAAGAGGGACAGGTGTTCGACGGTACAGGCTTGTGGGTAGGTCAAATTGGCAGATACACCAAGCGTGATGGTGCTTGCACCAAGCACCATCGACCTTTGCACGACTAGGACACAGCAGTTTTCTTTGATTGGATACCTTTGTCACTCTGTCAATGAACACCAACATGGACACTTCTATGCTGTGTTTCTTTACAGGGGCTTGAGTTGGTTGGTTGACGATGGCCTTTTTCCGAGAGCGCTCCCTGGCATTCAGGACTTTTTGAGGCAGCAAATTGTACAGGTTTGGGCAGTTCCTTCAGACATGTTGCTTCCTTCAAATCTGCAACATGATGAGATCGCACGAGTCCAAGAATGAGTGAGCCAGCGCCAAACAAGCGGTGCAGTGAAGGTCCCAGCTTTGACTTTGCCAATGTCACCAATATGGGTCAGCAGGTCCGACAATGGCTTGTGAGCAGACCACGACAGCCAATTTTCAAGGTTGAAACACATCTTGGGCCCGAAGACCATAGAAAAATGGTGCAGTGGATGACGGCTCGAGGCTATGGTGCCATGGGAGCTCCAGCAGCGGAAAGTCCCAAAGGGGGCACAAATGGGGGCATGATGATGCCTTTTCCGCAGCATTTGCATTTCCACTATGTTCAAGAGCAAATTGCGGAAGGTTGCGGATGGTTTGCAGTCAGCTGGAATTTTGAGGGCTGTGAACTAGTGCTGATCATGGCGTATTTCAAGTGTGGAGAGGGCATTCAAGGCAACACCAACGCTTCTTTGTGGGCTGGATTGCTTGCTTTTGTCACCAGTCTCCAGAAGCAGGTGATCATCATGGGTGATTTCAATGTGGCTCCGGAGGTTTTCATGACGACCACCATGGCCCAGGAATTCCCTGAAGATCCCCAACCGAGCCATACAGTGACATCAGGCAATGGGTCAGGCAACGATGGGTCGCCAGATGGGCCTGCAACGTACCGGAAACTTAGACATCCTCGTCGTTATGTACCCACGACATCGTGACCCGGATTACGCAGCCTTCAAGATCGGAAATTCCATGGCAATTGGCCGGAAGCTCTGGCCAAAGACTTAGTCAAGGCTTGGAATGTTCAGAGAGACAAACTCAAGTCGGTGCCATATCCTTGGCAGCACGCCAAAGGACCAGTTGGAGCGTTGCAATGTTACCTTCTGGAACACGGATGGTCTTTCGACAAGCAAGATGAGTGGGTCAAACCTGGCCATAATGGTGAACCTGATTTCAAGTTGAACATGAATGCTGATTGGTTTTACCTACGTCAATAATTGGAGAGGGCTCACAGATAGGAAACGTTCATGAAGATCAACAAGCGCCAGTTTTTAAAAGAAGCGCAACAACCCCTGGATTGGTTGCCTTGGAGGAGACTTTCCCGCACCCTGTCCAAATCGCAGAATGCGGCTTTACAAACCTGGCATCAAGGGGCTATTTTCACAAAATTGCAGGACGGGACGGGCAGGCCAAATCTCAGCTCATGTGCCCGCACTGTGGAAAGGAGGCTGACACCATTCATGTCCTTTGGCAATGTTCCGAGACAAGGAAAGCTTTTCCGCCTCTGGACCCGGAAGACTGGCAAGAGATTGAACAAGGGATAAACCTTGAGTTCTGGTCACAGGGCCTTCTCCAACTTCCTCGCTATGAGATTTCCACAGGAGGCGCAGCAGTTCAGACATGGGGATCTTGGACAGCAAATGACGAAGTTCGACTGAGTGGCATTGATGTGGTGACAATAGGGATAGCCCCCACAAGCACTGACCCTCGTCTCAAACATTTCGTTGTGGCCTTGGTACACCACACCTTGGTTGACGGAGAACTCATGCGGAAAGGTGCAGTGACCACTGTACTACCAGGCAAGCAGTCGCCTGATCGTGCCTGGTTCTACGGGCTCAGGCTCATTGCACACTATGTTCAATTGGACATGCAAGTGCGCGAGTACAGGTGCTCTCAAAGAAAGCCTGGGAGGCATGGGTGCATGGGCGCCACTCTGATGTGTTTTTGGACCTTAACCAATTGGTGACGCACGATCAACGAAGCCGCAATAGGCCTTTGAGTTTGAGTCACAAGCAGATCAATGAGATGCCACCAGGTCCGTACACTTTGAAAAGTGACGCCCAAGGTTGTCAGAGAAATGGCCTTGTCGCATCGACCAGAGCAAGAGGAGGCAGATTTGCGTTTGACTGACCAGCGCTACAACAAGATTGCTCCGCTGGCGATCTCACGGATCAAGTACCTTCTGGAGACTAAGGACCATTTCCTTCATCAGGTCAGAGAAAGTGGCCGCATCAACAGACAGAAAG